CGGTTCTAATTTGGGCGGGATCTTCGGCGGCGTTCCTCGACGTATCGTTAATAGCATGCGAAGTCGTGAACGAATGCTCAAACCGTCGCACGAACCAACCAGAGCCAAATCAATCGACCGACTCGCCGGTGCGGATGATCCACACGGTGGACCAAGCATTGCTCTGAGTAATACATTAGCAGCTGGTCATGTCGATCAACCGGACCTGTTGAAAGAACGATCCCCTGGCATTGGTCGAAGCCAGTCGCCGAATCCTTTTGATCTGAACTCGCAAAGGCCCCCAGAACGAGCGCCTTCCCGCCAGTCGTCCACCTCTTCCGCTTCATCACATCTAAACACAGCTTATGCACCTCAGCGCCAGCTCGAAGTCGGCCCAACATCTACATACGATGTCAATAGGGCCGCACTTTCCCCCCTTTACCGTGACACTTCCGAGGATAGATTCAACCGTGCCAAGGATGAGCTTGTCCGACAGAGAGTAAAAGAACACGAAAGCCGGGGAAGGCCGAAGCTTGGCACATCTCGGCGACCAACATCTGCTTTGAGTCAAACAGAATGTCCGCCCAGCCCGGATGACGAAAGCTTTTTCCAAAGGCAGAAGATAGAGGAGTATTTGAACCAACAACATCATCGCTACTATCCTTCGCTTAACACCGGCGCGGCAATTTATCACGCCAACGAACATTATGCACAGCCCAGAGCTTTAACATCCAGTTCTTCAGAAGATCACTTCACTTCTATGTCTCAGTCGACCTCCAATCCCTCAATACCTTCTGTCGTCTCCGCAGACTCATCTGTGACGGCAGAGGACTGTATCCAAAGGAACTCATTGCAAAGGATTACCACAGCTCCTTCCGGAGAATCTATTAATCAATTCGATATGCCAGTCGATGATCCAGCCGGTTATGACGGTGACCACCCAATTGAAAGCGAAGAAGATGACGACTCGGATGAAGACGACTTTCTCGTCATGGGCAAGAAGAAAAGCAATCCTCAGCAGATTTCAAGGAGCGAATCGATATCCAATGCCGAGCTTGCCAGATCTAGCATTCGGAGGGAGATTATTTCTAGCCGCCGAAGATCTGCCCGCAGCGGAAGTAATGGCACTGTTAAGAAGATACGTTCGCATGGGGAATCAGACAACGAGGAGCACAAGGAGCCTGTATCCTAGGCTCCACTAAGATTGTCAAGCTCTGCAAGCAACAGGCTTGTTCCAGAGAAATGACAGCTATCTACGATTTAAATGTACGACTACCTTCGCCACCATAGGAGCATGGGAAACATTGTACCTTTTCTGCCTCGAGAATATATTCACACACATACTAGTCCACCATCATCCCACAGTTCGATTCGCGTACCACCATAAGTTTCCCATGTACAAAATTATTAGCCTCTATGTCAGACCATCATACTTTCTATTAGCGAAGGCGTCTCGAATCCCGGTTGGGACACGCATACATATATACCCATCCCCTTGGCGCACAAAATTATGGGCGGCAGGAATTTTCTTATCAGCTGTGTCTGGAGTTGCCAAAACATGGGCGTTATCTTTTCCGGGTTTTTGCATCATATTTGGGCAAATGGGGCTTTTTTTATGAGGGGAAATGATGAATCTTTTTGTATACCTCTTGTGGGCAGAAATGGCGGGGCTATGCATGATAGATTCCGCAAAACTCTCTTCTCATTCTCCCAATTATTTCGTGGGCTATTTGATGATGTAGGGATTTTTTTCCATATTTGGGGGATATGGGTAACGACAGGGATTCTTAAAGGTAGCATAATAGGTTAAGCAAGCTCGATGCTTGTAAATAATCAATCTAGTTGCGGATCGGGATCGATCATGGTCATAAATAGATGCCAATACAACAGGATTATGATGATTTATAAGCCTACTCGTTCTTCAGCGGGAGTATGTAATGTAGCATGTGAAGATGATGCGTGCGCTCATAATCAAACCCTAACATTGGTGGTTTTCTACCCGTTTCGTGGCGTGGAGGCGTACGTTTGTCGTCCGTAGTCGCCACTATCATACCACCACTACGAGACCATATGCACACCGCCGTTCACGAACGACAGCGAGCAGCACAGTACGACACGGCACGCCACGCACCCCGGCCTCAGCGTCTTGGGCGTCTGTGTCTGGATTATTCGTGATCCTAGTACATGTACGTTATATAGTATGTATGCATCGGAACGTCGTGCCCCGGCCCTCGAAATCCCCTTCCCCATACGTACTCTACTCCAATCCAGTAATCCAATCCAAACTGGCTCTCACGCCATTGCTGCATGCATGAATGTATGCAGAGAGCCTGTCGTGTCCCGTTTGCTGGGTTGCCGTGTTAATATAGCTGTGTATGTGTGTATGTATGTATGTACGTACGGATGTATATATGTATGTATGCGCGCGTCGCGAATAGGTGGAAAGTAACGTATGAGCGGTAGGGGTATTTGGGAGGCGGGATGCGGGTGGCGGGGGCAATTTGGGAGACTGGGAGGTGTGTGGGGAGTTTGGGGTGTGGACTATTTTTGGATGAGAGCCGGTGGTAAGCGTTTTGTGGAGTGGGTGTTGTGGCGTGGCGTGATGTATGAGCCGGGGGTTTGGGTGGATGGGGTTGGGGGTTGTTGCGAACGGTTTTACGAGGGAGCGGGTAAGGCTGCGGGGTTCTTGGCTTGTTTAAGGGGTTTGAGAGGCGCTGTTTAATCGGGTTTCTGTTCTGTGGAATGGGTTGTGTGGGGAGGATGGGGTCATTGTGTATGATATAGATATGTTAATATTCCTTGAAGTTGGGGAATTCGAGTACCAATGCTTGTACAGCAATTCTCAACAACGTTATTTGTGTCGTCCTGAACATTTATCAACGAGACCCGATTCAAATTCATAGCTAGTAGTACTATTCAGAGTTTCCTCAATGTTGCTTTTATTAGCACTTACCCAGCATATAATTAGTAGCCCTTAAAGAAGGAATATACAGTAACATCCAGACTCGCCTCCATCCCGGTGAAGGGTATGGTCTTTCTAAAAGTAGAAGTGATAACAGAAGGAGACTGCTATGAGTTAAGAAGCAGATATAAAATTGTTAGATGGTATGTCCCCACCTCACATACCGGACTAGTTCGAAAATGGAGAGTGGAATGTTGCCGAATTTCGATAATCAAGGCAAGGATCCGCTTCAGTACAGAGTTCTACCAGTTCAAATAATGTATTCTTTGATCTCTTCAGCTGTTGTCGGATTTCAGTATGATGGCTTAACAGTGATATCAAAAAGCTCGACTAATTGCTATAAATTTATATGAAAAGCTCCAGTGATCCCCCCTCCCGTCCCGCGGGCTTCTATCGGACATGCAGGTGATGTGGAACATGTTTGGTGTAGGCTCCGAAAGAAACGCAAAGGATCGTCACTGGAGATCATCCTCACTATTGGACACGAGATTTGTGGTCCAATACTATACTTGAAAAAGTGAAATGCCACGATGTTAGAATAGAGGGATATGAGCATCCAAGCAGGCTCAAGCAACTGGAAGAAGCAGTGCATCACATAGTTTTAACTCTCTGCATCTGAAAGCGGACTTCCTCGTCCGCTTTCTACTATGGTAAGAATTGAGGCGGAGGTCAAGGTAGTATAAAGTACCGTAAAACATCTTACATGCGATCACCCATCCAGATCGTGCCAGGTATATACTATCAGGTTCTCTAACAACCCACTTATCTCACGGGTAATTTGATGCTCATAGATTACCTAGACTAGCGCTGACCTCCTCAAATAACAGGAAGTAGGCAAGCAGAATGTTGAGAAAATTTGTGTTGCTTACCGCGATGTATATCGTGCGACGAACCTCCTTCGCATCATTACTATCTCCTTATTACGGATCTCGTAAACGCGGAAAATTGCAACTTCAAAAAAATAAATCGTCTTTGTATATCGGGTGAGGAAAAGCATACTTCATAGATCCATGGACCACGTACGCATTCCGTGCTCAATGCCAGCACTGTCACCGGAACATGATAATTGATTATGTCACATAGGTTGACTTCCTGAGCTTTGTAAGGGTATATATACTATTCTACACCCATGATCAGCGATATTGATTATTCGTACCTTTTGGTTGCAGTAGCGCAGTGGCGTAGAGCCGTGCTTCTGACAAGCTTAAGCACTAGAAGTATTTTATTCTCCCCTGCTTCTCGTCAAGATGTAACGATGCGAAGAAATCGTTCCACGAAAAGCTTCACATGCAACCTTATCCCAAAGCTTTTCGCTTATCTTATCCTACCCCCGGCTCCGCTCCTTTTCCCATCCGTATATAGTTGCACACTCCCTCATAAGTAGCTCGGTAGTTTTTCTATATCCTTTCGTACAAGGCCTATAGGTGTCAATGGAATTCCCAGGTCCCTGAACCCCCACGCACTCCCATATGTCTCTGAGTGGATTCGTGCCGCATTCGGACCTATTGTCTTGCCTGCGCCGTTGCACAAGACTTGTAACGTCCCTCATGGAATGTAGAGGTCTAGGACTACCGCGAAGCCGGCATTGCTCATTTGGCAATAGTATATAGCTTCTCTTTTTCACCTACTGTATGTATAATCAATCATACTGCTTATATCTCGTACAGTATTTTATAGACTGTAAAAAAAAAGAAAATTGCCAAGAGTTTTACGACGCCCATACGGTTCGCGGTAAAAGTTTATTCACGGAATGTCCTGAACTTTTTAGGCTAAATGCACTATAAAAACAGGTCTTGCTTCTTAAATATTTCTTAAGCATAGAAATTTTATCTACTCTTGACGCCCTTCTTACCATAAAGATTCTGCAGTGATATTTGTTTATCTACAATCTCAAGTAGCTTAGAAATGGTATCCAGGACCGCTCGAGCATCCCGCGAGGAAGGAGAGACTGTTACACTAAGCAAAATTAAGGAACAGGCAATGCGTGTATTTGCTCTCGATTAGGTGGGCTGGGGGCATCCCAATTATTTTGGATCAAAAACAAAAACCAATTTTCATCGGGCTTGACCGGGATTCGAACCCGGGACCTGCTACAATCAAGACAAGCTAACCGCGTGCGGGCGTGATTATAACCCGAAGCAGCAATCATACCTCTAGACCATCAAGCCGGATGATGAATTCATGGTAGAAATTTTTCTCTTTTTTTCTTTATATTAGTACTTACAAAAGCCCTCACAAAAGAGACTTAAAAAACCAGACTTTTTTTTCACGGGAACAGACTTTCGAAGGGTTGGCATTGTGAGGACTCGGCTGGGTCAGGGGCTGGACTGGCGCTGAGCCACCCATCCATGGTCCACAGCCCAAACTTAACCGCATTCAGAACACCTTGCGATCTTGCGTACAGTATTGTTGGATGCACAGTATCTTGGACAAAATCTGTTGAACGGCCAGCAATCATATGTTCAAAGAAGATCTAGCAGTGTTTCACGACATCTTCTCGTTAAGAACTACCAGCTGAATAATACCCCGTACACGGCCAGTCATTAGAAAGCTACCCCACGCTATAGCCTCAGTGTGAACAGAGCATTGTGAGGGCTTGTACGTCGGCTTTGTATGGAGAGCCGGCCTAGACTTCGGCACAAAAATGCACAGGTACTCGGCATCCGACATCGCTCATGTTGGTTCCGGACAGGATACCTCTATTAGTTGGACGTGCACCCAACATTTTTGTAGCACACCGACTCTATCGCGAAAAAAAAACTGGCCGACAGCGCACCTCGCTCTCCAATGCGGAAAGGGGGCTTGAAGCACTGCCGAGTATGCCAGAAAAGCAAGTCAACATCTCCAGACGCGCCCAGGAACCCATACGCTTCACTTCAGTGTCGAAAATGCGGGGAAACACTGTCTGGTGTGCAGATGGTGTGATGGTTTAGCGGATAAGTGGAGCGATTGGGCCATCTGAGCGGGTCTAACCGTCGGCTGGAATTGGCTTAGGGTGAGGGGTCTAAGCTCCCACGTATGTAATGATGCTTTATGCTTGGTTGAGGAAGCAAGCCCTGCACGAATAACAGATACTCCGAAACGCTGATTACGAACGGCTTGCGGAACAACCCGACGACCCATTGACACAAATCAGCGCTTATTGACCGCCTTCTCTACCTTCCGAGTATAGATACCCGACGTCTCCCTGAGCAATCACAGCTCATCCTCATTCCGGGCATCTCCTCAGCTAAACTCCGTCCCTGGCGGGACACAGCGCGACTCCTCTCCTCCGATCTTCTCGTCTGGGTATATAATACTCGATAGTTTACTAATCCCTTCTTCTCTGCTCTGCTTCGCGCTTGCTTTTCCCTCGTACACCATTGCATGCCTATTTAGTAATCATGCAAGCTTCGCGAGCATCATCGCGTGCCCTCAAGGCGATTGCTGCCGGCAGCAAGCAGACCCGAAATCTTCATATGACGGGGCCAGCTACCTTTTCTTCACTGGTTACCTCCGATCGACCTGGGCTAAACCTCCCACGAGATGTTGCAGGTCTGCGTGCGGAGTGCCAGAAGCGCAAGCTCCCCACTTACGGAACAAAGGCTGAGGTACGAGCATTCCCTAGTGATTGCGAATGTGGATCACACCACCAATCCCGACCATACATACTGACATATGCTCTAAATTAGCTTATTGACCGACTCTCTACTCACGAAACCACAAAGTCGCGTGCCTTCAGCACCGCTATCCACGACTCGAAACGCCCAATCCCTGGCCCCGCAGCTGCCGGAGAGTCCGTACGGGAATTCAACACGAGTCGTAGCTTGAAAGCCGTGAATGATAGCTCCACGATCGACTTTGCCTACCTCCCCGATTTTGATCCGGACGCTGGGCAGTCCCCCGTTATCCGAGTCCCTATTCTCCCAGAGACGCAGCCTTCCGAAGCCAATAAAGCGTACACTGCCGTCGAAGTTGAAGAACCGGTAGGCATTCTGTTATTATACCGAAAATTATAATACTAATTATTCCTCCCATCAGGTTATGCTCCCCAGCATAATGACAGCCGCCGCCGACGGAACCCACATATTCTCTCCTTCCGCAATGACCGAGGTATCCGACAATAATTCAGTCGATTTCCAAGGTATGGCGGCACGAGTTGCAGAGCGGTTTGGCAAGCCAGTGGAAGAGAAAGCCGGCATGATGAAAGAGGTCTGGAATAGTCTTGTGGATGACATCCTTGGCCCCAAGTCCCAGGGTCCCGCCCGAACCTAGATTTGTAACTGATATTATATGATTGCCAGGTAATGATTCCCTAGCAGTGGAGCGGAGTTTCGGCGATGATAGCAATCTTGGGGCATGCTCTATTACCTTCATCTTATCGGAATGTTTTTGCGGGTAAATCCGGCTGGAAGTGCTCAAGCCTATGAGACACGAAACATCAATTGAATTCTAGTTCTGCCTTCCCCATTAGGTTGGCTTCATTTCTTCCGAGTCTTCCGGCCCACTTACACATTGTGAACTGATTTTGTTGCGACATCACTACTAAGTAAGATTTATGTTAGTCTAGACGCTAGTTTATGACTCCGGCATTGTGTAATAGGTGGATTGCCTTGAAGAATGATCTTCGAGACACCTGATATTTATCACCTGTACCATAGCTTAACCATCCCAACGAAGACTCCTCGGAATATTAACCGATTTGATACACACAGTATTTTAAGGCTCTCCTTCGGCGATTCTAGTGAAGCCGCCACTTGTATACTGAGACTACTCCAAAATGCAGCTTGAAAGCGACATTGGGTTTGATAGTCGGATAAGATTGAACATGAGGCTGGCCTAATTATTCTGCTGTTCAATGTAATCGGGAAAGTTGCGGTCCTTGCGCCAAAGAAATTCAATATCAGCCCATCAAAAGTCGATTCTATAAAGCATACGTTCAGCTGATATCAGAACGGAGGCTCACCGCGATGCTCCTTCAATAATGACGATCCAGGCGGTAAGAAACTAGTGTATCCGATAACCCGGCCTTTTATGTAACGGACAAGCGGCTAAGGTTGGGAAACGGCGCGAAGAATAGGGTGCCGCTTGCAGTGTCGTTTTGCGAGGAAGGCATGTTTAGTTTGTAAGTGATGTCCAAAATTTGAGTAGTTAGAAGGCGATAGACCGGCGTTGAACCTCCTCTTATGATAAATACGACAGGCGGCAGCATACGGTTTGAATTCACAAGTATGCCGTCTCAATGCATCCTAGTCACAAATTGTTGCTTTTTGAAGAAGGCGCTGAAGTTGAAGCTTTCACCACCCACTGGTTACTGCAACTCCCTCATGCTGAACTATCATCACGAGGCCGCAACTATGAATCATATTCTGTGAAAGCAATCGTGGGAGATGAGCGTCCCAATTATCCTCATTTTAGGATATCGGAGGCCGAGCGTATATCAAATGTCTATAACCTCGTCAACGCCGTGACCAAACTAAACATGAGCTTTTTATCGAGTTAACTTCGAAGCTAGATTACTATGCTGCCTCGGGATGACTACACAATCCCTTCTTGAGATTTCGGCATCTAAATAAAATCTTTCTTCAATTATTCATGGTGTTATTGTCCGCCCCTTTCATTTGTGTCCCATGCTTATATTGACGTTACCTAGGTATTCACGATCGCAATCACCTTGTGTACGGCCTTTTTCACTCCAATCCTAAGTCCCATGACAACGACAAAATCGGCCCAAACTGTTTAAAGAATCAGTACCTCACCAACCTGTTCCTGAAATTGTGCAATAATCGCGACACCATGGCATCGTACGGGATAGTTTTGAATCTGCTGGATGAGCGATATTTGGGCCTTCAAGATGTAATTGGTAACACTGAACCGCTTCCAACTCTCGTACCATACTCAGAGTTCGCGCAAAATGTTCTGGTGTACACGATGAATAACCCGCACGAGACTATCCTTGGTCAACTTCAGACATTCACCGATCGAATCGCGAGACACACTAGAAAAGAGTTATGGACGTGGCTCGTACAATGGGAAGTTGAAGCACCGCCAGCACAGCAGAACGGAGCTCCGGCTTCCAAGAAACCCCGAACTAGTGAAGCGCACACAGGATCTTCATTCTTCTCCCAGGTTCCTCAGGTGCCTACCAAGTTCGTGCAACGCCCGAAGGCTCCCTCCATAACTGTCACACGCCGGATTCTTGACCCCGAGCTTGTCAAAGAGGAGGAAATTCTCCGCATCCTAATCGATATCGTCCAGGTCCCTGATGCTATCGTACCAAACTTTATCGAATTTCTCTATCAGTGGCTTGACTACTTCGAAAGTGATGGCTATGCGCTGAAATGTGCTTTGCGCAACGAAATTCCCAGTTTATGGGACTTTGAGCTCCATCCACTTGAGCTACCTTGGGTTCGGAAGAAGGTGGATAGGGAAGAATCCAAGAAGCCAAATGTCAAGGAAATGGAAGAACAAATTGAGCAGAGTGAACGTATGCAATACCGCGAAAAACGCTACGGTCTCCAACCTCCCAAATTTTCCATGAAAACTACTCCGCTCCTCAACATTCCAAAGAATCTGCGCAAGCGCAATATTTACTACGCCGCTTGCTTCAAGTCTCGTCAACGTGCTATCAGTCTCCTCCTCGAGGCAGGCATTTCCATGCGACAGATCAACAATTACGTGAAGATGCAGGAGAAGCATCCTAGAGAAACCATCGAGGAGGGCAACAATCGGGGCCTCGACAACTATCATAAGAACAAACCGTACGCAAATGAGCAGTGGATGGTTAATAAGCGAAAATTGACGGTGAAGAGGAAGCATATGGAGACGCTTATTAGTAGGGAATTGGCTATCGAAGCGCGATTTGCGGAAAGGGCTGCGGCTTCTGAAATGTCAGATGCAGGAGGAAGTGGAAGGCTTGTAGTCCCTCCTCCGCTTATACCAGCTACTCCAACATCGGCCAGAGGACTGTCTACACCTATGCCCGCTTTTCGAGGCGCTCCAGCACTGCTTGCTCGTCAGAGTTCTGGAAAAGTTTTACCCTCCGTCCCGGCTTGCCTGGTACGACATTTGAAGTCGAAGGAATTCGCAAATGCTCGTCCTTCCCTTCCAGGACCATTGCCCATGGACTCTTGGGCACAACTTGCCAGCCGAATGGTAGACTGGGATGACGATGGGGATGACGATGGGG